TCCCATCTGCCACTGTGCAGTTAGCAAACCATACACAGGTGCAGTAGGTCAAAATGCTCTCAATGGTATGGCAGTAGAAGGTCACCAGCAGTTTTTCATTCAGTTATTGTTTCCTGAGAAGTCTCAGGTAGTATAATCTCTGCTGGGCCCTCTTAACCAAGGCTGCAGTATGAGCACCCCAGGTCAGGTCCTCCTTTATGGTAACACCCAGAAACTTAAAACTGGCCTCCCGCTCCACTCGGTCTCCACTGATAACCAGGGGTTGGACGTCTAATCTATTCCCTCTATAGTCCACTATAAGCTCTTGGTCTTAATTAAAAAAGATATTTAATAATGATCTGAAGTTATGCCAATGAGATCTAGTTTTTGGAGGAATGCACCTTTACTGTACAACAGATAAGAATTATAATTACCTTTCCCAGCCAAGTGATTCGAGGCCATGGCTTCTTCTGTTTAATACACGTAGAGGCTAGAACCTCTAATTTGATTTTCATGATTATTAAGACGTAAGAGAATCCATAAAATTTATCAAAGTTTAAATCATTTTGAATAGTTCCTTAATAAAAATTCACCAGCATCTCTGCAAAACAATTTAAAGTCCTTAAATATTGAGATAATTAAACCATGGATACCATTTCTGTTGCATTCAGATATAATTATTTCAAAATAACATTCAATTGTTTGATGTCATGCTATAAAACATTATGAAGGTTTGCCAGCATTAATCAATTTTTATGTCCCACAGGGTACCAATTCCAATTTATTCTGTAAAATGGGCATCTCAATGGTTGAAGAAGAATTAGTACCAGCCTCCTATGCTAATTTGTTAAATTGACAGAAATCAGAATTAGTATGTTTTCATCAACCTGGACCCATCACATAAAACATGAAGGAACCAGGTTATTATAACAGTCTTGCAGTTGACAGTCCACACAGGAGATTAATTAAATGCCTATTTAATCCAACAATCTCTGTTCCCATAATAATCAATCAAATGCCTATGGGAAGGGTAATCAAACTTTGCAATACCAAAGATTTATAACCAAAATGATAAATGTACACCTCCCAGTTGCTCATTTTGAGAATACCAAGCCTGTAGAATGATATAGACAGACAGACAGATGTAGTCCTAAACTTACGGCCATTCATTTAGTGACCGTTCGAAGTTACAATGGTGCTGAAAAAAGTGACTTACGACCAATCCTCACACTGCAGTGTCCCTGTGGGCACTTGGCAACCAGCATGTATTTACAATGGTTGCAGTGTCCTGGGGTCACTTGATTGCCAATTGCGACCTTCCTGGCCGGCTTCCGACAAACAAAATCAATGGGGAACTGCGTGATTCACTTAACGATCACATGATCTGTTTAACGACCACATGATTCACTTAATGACTGCTGCAAAAAATGTTATAAAATCAGGTGTGATCACGTGATGCCTTGCTTAATGACCACACCACTTAACAAGGAATTTTCCAGTCCCTATTGTGGTCATAAGTTAAGGACTACCTGTAGATAGATATTAGCAACTGCCATACACAAAACTGTTATATGAGATACCACAGGGCATGTCAAATAGGCCAGTCCCAACCAGCCTGCTCTGCCTTGAGGTACTGTTCAATTCAGAACACCAGCAACCAGTTTCAATGCACCATCTCTAGCTGCAAAATTGAATCCCTCTATGCAAGTCAGAGGAGGATGATTCATCCAGCCAGACCTTTTGCTTCGCTGGAAATCGATGGGCACCTGAGCATGCACAGATGAGTTTTGCTTTCTGGATCAAACAAGTGCGGCTGTTCTGGCCAGCTATTTTAAAGGGTACCTTGATCAAAGGCTTCTCAAAGCCAACCAGCCCTTTGAAGAACTGCATAGGCCTTGTAATCATTGATTCAGGGGGACTACAGTATGAATCAGTGATAGCCTTCTTCTGCAAAAATTTGGCAAGTTCAAGATCACGCATCACACCAGTGAAACTATGCACAAGATGAAGACATCCAAGTCTCCGTTCTTCACTGGATGATCCCAAATTCTAGTGTTATGTGATGACAAAAGAAAAACACTCCCTGTCTACACCGTGCATGCCTCCTCTATACACCTCTTTTCCCCTTACTTTCCTTTTTTCCAAGTTAAAGCCCTGAACTTCATAATCATTCCTCAATCATTCTGGTTGCCCAACTAGGCATCTTTTTCAGCTTTTCTGAGATGTGATAATCCAAGTATGATCACACTGAAAGCTTATACATAGACATTTTTTTCCATTCTTCTTCAATCACCTCCAACGTGAAATTTGCATTTTTTTAGAGCTGTACCCTGGTCTTCATCAAACTGCCCACTACAACCCTAAGATCTTTCTCATTACTCACTACCAGTTCAGACACTATCAGTATATATGTGAACAGAGAACTAGATTGTGAAATTCAGTGCCAAAAGATGTATTAATAGTCATGGATTTAGAAAGCCTTAAAAGGATATGTGGTGAGTTCATGGAGGTTAGTAGGGCTGTGCAACACACCTGAAAGAGTTACTTCACAATGTATATTAACTATCTTTAGATTGTTAAATCACCAGCATCTCTGCATGGCTCACATGTTCCCTTAAAAGCTCTTCTCAGCTGTCTTGCAGGCATGTACATGCAGACCCATTTTGCGTGTGATCCTATGCAAATAATTTGGACAGCTGTTGAAGCAACTGGGAATGTTTTAACGAACTGAAGAGAGGTACTTCATTTGTGCTAACATATACCTAGAAGTTTAATATAACTTTAAAGTCTAGATCTATACTTATGATGGTTAAACTGTACCTTCTGTATGAAGCAACCATGCCTTCATTTCTTGCTTACTGGGGCCCCATAAGGCATTTTGGCTGGTAAGAACCAGGATGCTTCACTAGATTAAGCTCTTGGCCTGATCACGCTGGATTCTTCTTGATTTCCAAAACCACTACCCTGATCGCCTGTTGCGTATACAAAAATAACTTATTTATGTAATCACATTTGTATAGCTGCCCATCTCACATATAGTGACTCTGGGTGGCATACATAGTAATAATGAAGAATATATAAAAACCATTAAAACAACCAATTTAAATTAAAATAAAAACAAGATAAAAGCAAATAAAAAACAAAATGGCAGGAAAACATACAGAGTGCATTCCATTAACTGTCATATAACCATCTAACAGGCTCAGGGTGACATACATGGCTCTCCTTTCCCCTGCACAGAATGAAGATTTCCACCCAGTGAACTGAACTTAGACCTGACTATAGCAGGTGGTAGCATCTGGTTGACTCTGGCTGATCTAAAAAAGACACAGTTAAACCCTGCTGACTGGATAGGAGACCAACAGGAAATCCAGGGCAACAGACTAAACTGGGAAGTAAAGCATCCCAGAAGGCAGTGACATGCTACTTCCATAATGCTGCTTTAAAGAAAAAAAACCCACATGGCCATGGCATCACCAGGAATTGACCATGATTCATGAGAGTATATAAATCAGTATTTGTCCAAGGATGCTTAAAGGCACAATCCTGCCCATGTTCTCTCCAATTTCACTGTATGCAAAGGCACTTGAATTCCAGAGAAGGGCAAAACGTAAATCTATTTAATGGCTCCCCCATCTCTTGCTCCTCGGATGATTCGCACGTGATCCCCAGGCGGCAAAGCCGATAGGAATTGTGGTGCAGTAGATCTGGAGGGCTCCAGGACGGATGGATGGATTTATTTATTAAAGCAATTTAAATGGCCGCCCAACTCTCTCACGGAGACTCCGGGCGGCTGACAGAAATAAAACCCCAAATACAAAGCCACCACACTCCCACCCACCTGGCGACAACAATACACTGGATCCCTCGGGAGCCACAAGATCCCCCGTTATCTTTCCGCCGGCAGCCTCCCTCCCCGCCTTCTTCTTTTCATGCCCAGATGCCAGCCAAGCGCCGCTTTGCAACGGGGCGTGTCCCTCACGCTTCGTGCAGGAGCAGCTGGGCAGTCGGGCTGCCGCCTTCCCTCGGCGCTACAGTCGCTCACTGCCGCGAGGTCCCGCCTGAAGGAGGATGGAGAGAGCGAGCCCCAGCTGGAAAAGCGACCGCCCTCCGCAGGCGCCCCGTAACCCACCGACCGCCACCGCCTCAGCCCAACGGTTCTTCTCGCAGGAGGCTCCCAAGTTGCCAGCCGAGGGGCGGGTCATGAGTACCACGCATGCGCTCCGTGGCGTCCGTTTCAACGGTAAACAGGGAGGCTCCGCCCCCTGACGCGGCCGGCGCAACTCGCTGCCCCGCCTCCCAGGGACGTGGAGACTGAGAGGGAAGCGGTTGGGACCCGGCGGTCGGAAAGCGGCGTCGCCGGTGCGAGGCGAAGGACCCCGAGCGTCTCCGAATCCGTAACTTCCGCTCAAAATACCGGGCGCTTTTAGCGACTTAATCCAGCAGTACCCAGCAGAGCTCAAGAAGAGTCGAGCGCAAGCAGAGCTGAACCTTTGGAGTATTTAGAAGGGAGACCACGAGGAAATCCCAGGGCTGAAGATTCCACGGAGAAGTTGAAAAAAATATCCTAGGAAACAGGAAATTTGAACCACTTCCACATGGTTGCCAAGAAAACTAGTAAATCTGTTCCTTGAAAATCTTGACTTGAGGCAGTCTTTCTCTTGAAGCAGTTCATCACTGCTAGCAATAGCAGCACACAGAGTGCTGGGTAACTAGGGTGTGGCTAGTGCTGGGAGACCACCAGAAAAGCCTAGTAGTGTAGGACTGGAAAAATTAGGAAAGCAAAAATCCTGGAAGGAGATGGCAAGCCCTTTCTATATTACTGTCAAAAAAAAATGTGGAGATTGCGCATGAAGTTATTAGTAGCTGAGCATGACTAGACTTGATTGGATAGCTGATTTCTTCACTGTGGTGGACATCCTGTGCTACATGAGCATCCTTCAGCCAGCATGGCCTTTGATTACAGTCCCTTGGGCATGGAAAAGGCACAAGGCAGATTTAAGAGCAGAACCCAGCCTGGTGCTCCTAGAGTGGTTGGTCCATCAGCTCCAGCATCTCTAAGCAACCCCTCTGGAAGGCACCAAGCTGGGGAAAAGAGCACAAGCTTTGTGGATGACGATCTCATCAGGCGAATGAAAGGTTATCTTTATCTTTCACAGTGAGAAATGGTTTAGTAAACATAGGTTACTTTTTGAGGGATGCCATTTTATTTTAGGCTAATAAAGACTCTGGTCTCTCCCTCCTGCTACACATACACAGAAGAATGATTATGAATGTGTGGTATAATCCTAAACTTCACTGAGGACTCCCCAATATTCTATTTAACAGTAGAAATTAAAGCTAAAGATACCTTAAATCAAGCTTGACTTCTGGACACATCCACGTTGTTTTCTGAATACAGTACGGAAATAGTTTGCTATTGCCTTTTTTCTGGAATATTTTAGTACTCAGTATTCCTTACTGAGTTCTAACCAAGTCTAATCCATTTTAGCTTTTTGAGTTAGCTCAGGTTGGTTAGCGGCCATTGAATTGGAGATACAGTGTAAGTAGTGCCAGTGGCTAACTCACTGATAAGAGCCAATATAGGAATACAGACTTAGTATCCAATTATTTTCATTTTTGCATTAAGGCAGCCTTCACTAATAACTTATCAGCCAACATGGAAACTGTACTTCAAAACCCCTGGACGATCAACACTGAAAATGCCTACACTAAAATCGTAGTAAAATTCTAAAATTGTTTTGATCCTAAACTTGCTATTACAGAAATAAAAGCCTCTTCCAAGAAGTTCAAGGGAGTAGCAGTAAGGTTACATATGTCCCACTGCCCAATATCTTTTCTAAAGGGCTCTGAGCTGTTTCTAAGAAATCCTGTTTTTCGGTTGTGTCAGAATATATTAGCATACTGTAGTTTTCATGCAAACCAAAATACATTCTCTGGTTTGTGATCCTCTGCGCACGTAATAGCAAACTATACATTTACCAAGGTCTTAGAAACCAAAGCACATGGAGATTTAACTCTGGACTATGGTTTTCCATTACATTTCAATGAGTTGAGAACATGTTGACATGACAGTTTGAAGGGCAAAGGATATAGCTTGATTAAAAATTATGAATGGCTTCTTTGTTCCCCAGTATTAATTCCCACTGGCATGTCCACTGTCAAAATCTCTCATAGGAATAATTCCTTTTAAAAGAAAGAGAGGTAGTACATATTGTAGAAATAGAATTTCTCTCGTGCATGGGGAATTTAAAAATAAAGTGCAGTTAAACAGCTCCACTAGATAAGCTACCAGCTGGGACTATACAGAATAGTCAATTGTTGGCTATTATTTATGGTCAAGTGCATTGTACAGATTCTATGAAACATTTACAAGAAACCCATTTTACAAATAGTTTAATTGCCAGAGCACAATTATACAATGCGTCTTAATCCAAAGCATATAAAACAGTTTCACTGTTAGAAAAATTTGGCAGTAGTAAAAAAAAGAAAACAATCTGCTATTTATACATTCTGTCCCATGTGACATTCATTAAGAACATACAACAGAAAACAGCAATCAGTAGGAGGTTGATTCTCTTCTGCCTTATCAGCATTTGTCTTTTCAAGTTCTAGTACATGAATAGCCAGTTCACCTGGGCAAGTAGATGCGGGTCACTGGACTCAGTGAAGCCGCTCTAATTTTGCTTGTAGAGATTTAAAGTTCCCTGTAATGGTCTGTACAGCTAGTGTTGGACTTATAGACTGCAATTCAACAAGGTAACAGCTAACAGCATCTAAGCAGATATTTGTGAATCGCCGTCTAAAGAGAAAGAAAACAGATTGAGCTTGTTATTATACTCCTTCCCATACAATTGCATCTCAAAATGGATTTGCATACTGTGATTTGTAAAAATCTGAATTATTAAAAAGTTGGTGGACGGGGAAGGAAAATATGAACAAAATAGACCTATTCATCCAACGTTCATTCTGGGAAGGCTGGGTGAAGAGAGGGACATTCAAGAGGCACCTAAAAGTTACAGTCACAAATTTCACTGGGAGGACATTACATAATACAAGGACCACCACTAGGGAGACTTGCCTGAAAATAACTGCCAGTTGGCATGCTGCAATAATCCCTAATGATCAACCCGACTGATCATAGCATCAGGGTAGAGGACATGGCAGAGAGATGGACACACAATGGGCACACACATACATTAGCTGCATAATAGTCATACTCACTTCTTACAGAATAGCCACATTCTGATACTCTGCAGTGCATATCAGAAAACGTTCCGTCTTGGAAATATATATAATATCAAATTCTGTATCTCTCTTCTCCCAGGATACTTTTTGTCTTTCCAAAACTATATAGTTGTGACTTGTAAGCTGGTCTTGCCATTGGCAACTAGAGATTTCACACAGCTGAGGGCATGAATTTTCTCAAGGCAAGTCTGGAATGGTCATAAGACTGACCTGTCCTTCCTTTATGAATTTCTGCCTCGGCTATGGATAGAAGTCCTCACTTCCTCCTTAGCTGTAGAGGCTATACCTTGGGCCAGCACTGGTGAACTAGAGATACCTGTCCTTCCTTTGCCAGCTCACTCTGCTGCTGGGTTGACTACATAAATTTTTCAGATATGGAAACTAAGTAGGTTAAAAAAGAGACAAAATTCTCTGGAACAGGAAGATGAAAGAGTACAAAGTACCGTCTTGCCATGCTTCTTCCCTATAACATGTGTTATTTCAGAAAGGATCATTTTAAGAATAAAAAATGGATCAAAAATATGTAAGTTAGTAAAAGTCATTGTAGGCCTGAAAGTACTCAACATGATATTGTTAAAAGCTTGACTGAAGTTTTTTTTTTTCCTATTTAATTTTGATATGACATTTAAACAAGCAAGACTACATTTTTCAACACCATCACTTGGCACGTCCCATGTTAGAAAAACTAACCATCTCAATTCCAGCACATATGAACTTTAAAATACCTTTCAAAAGTAGCTACTCTGTTAGGATCCTGCACATATCCTGAGAGCAGTACATGAATGCACTCCAGAAGATGTAATGGCTTCTTCATTTTGCTCCAGTAGGGATCCTATAAAGACATACAGATATGGACATATGCACATGTACACACATACACACATGTATGTGTATATGTTAAAAAAAGAAAGAAACTGGGCAAGACTCATGAGCTTGTATGTGTGTCCACTGACTAGTTGGCAGAATAAAGACTGCTGTTTCTCCATTGCTACCAAGACTGTAGACTAAACTGGAAGTCAAAAAACCGCCCCGAATGTGGCAATGGCAAGCATCTCCAGTATTATTGCTGCTAAGAAAGCTACACAGACATTTTATTTATGTGTTTGTTTGTCAATTTATATGGCCGCCCATCTCATGCGAAGTGACTCTAGGCAGCTTACTATAAAACCCACTACTAAAATATGCTACAAAACCAACTGACAGGCCCATTGAATCACTAGGAGCTGAGCTCAACATGAAAGAGACTTTCTATTTTCATTGCTATTTTTTAGCAGGAAACCAGTAATTCTGATGAGAATTGCTCTCCCCTGCCAATGCTCCTGTTTTTGACAGCAGTGGGTAAACAGTGATCTTGCTTGCACTGCCCTGTTGGAGGAAAGTGAGTTAAACCCCACTCTTCCCAGTGATCCTTTAAACGTTCTCCCATTCCAAAAATTCAATCTATCAATTTCTTCAGTGCTAACAAAAGCAGAGGCAAATCCTTTTTTAGCCCAAAGGCCTCATTCTCACATTTGGGGGCCTATAAGCATATCTTTCCTCTCCATACACATTTATAACTTTAACAGGTGAAGGAAGATACAATAACGTGTTGGAATCTTACTGGTCTGTAAGTATAATCACTAAAAACTTGCTAACTGAGCATCTCACAGTACTGCATCTAAACAGAAATATTCTCATCCCATGCATTGTTATAATACAGATCATAAAACAAACTGAAAACTAGATTTTGAACTTCGTTCTCATACCCGTGCTTTAAAGAGCTGATCGTATACTTCAAGAAGCCGTGGTAGTGGGACACCAATTTCTTGCATTGTGTAAGTTACAAATCCCACATCCCAGTTCAAAGAACAAACTTGCTGTTCTAGATATTGTACTAAGAAATCTGAGGAAAAAAATTATGTAATGGAATATCAAATTTTTGCATAAGGTTATGGCAACAATAACAGTCTTTC